CTTTTTGCCATCCACAGCCGTTACGTTGCGCTACGTTACGTTCGCTGTTGCGTTTTACGGAATGCTGAAGCGGCTTTTGTTTTAGCTTTTCATTTTTTTGTTGCCCCCTCTCTCCCACGCCATCTCTCGCTTTTATATTTTTATTTTATTTTTTTTTTTGCATTTAAATTAAGTCTAAAATGCCGACAAGCAGTTGTTGTTCTGTTACTTTGTTTGTTGTTTTTGTTACTGTTACTACACAGTTAAATGCCAGAGTTGCCAGATTGTTTAAAATGTCACAACACAATGTGTTTAGCTGTATGAATGAACTTGTTTAAATCGCAAGGCTATTTGGATTGTGCCTGAATTACAGCAAATTGTTAATAGCTGCTATCCGGCGTTACGCGGCTAAGTGAATTTGAAAATAACTTTTGCTTTTTTACTCGACTTCTCTCATCTATTTAATAATTTATTTATGCTTAAAATGAGAAATATAATTTTTAATTTATACAAAAACAGTTTATACTTAAGGCCTATTTTCTCACTAGGCTCACATCACATCCTCACATGATCTTTACCATTTGCTTATTTAATCAAGAGATAAATGAGATTATTTTTAATTTGTTCACTTTAAATCGCCAAATCAGTTAAAGAGGAAGAGTTAACTAAAAACTTGTTCAGTAAAAAAAAGAGAACTTATTAGATCTGCATAACAGCCATTTACATCTAGCATGTACCAAATTCAATTAAGTTTTCCAGTCTTTTTTTTCCATATTTTTTCTTCGGGAGCCAGTTGGATATAGTCGCAATACAAATGTTGGGTATTCTATATTGGCATTTTCCGTGCCGCTGGCCATATTTATTTTCAATTTAAGCCAAATGCTCGCATGCTGCACTCTAAAAGTCTGTGGCATGTTGTACGTGTTGCATGCCCCGCACTCCGTGCCCCAGCCACAGCCAAAGCCAAAGCATAATTTATAGCCCCAGCAGCGGCGGCAGTAAAGTTAATGCCCCCCATTTCCCTTGCTGTAGGTTATAAAAAAAACTTTGGAAACTGACCCTCATCATAATTGAAATGCGCTAAAAACAAAACGATGCAAAAATCTTTTTTAATGAAAATCCATCTACATGCACGCAAATGCATATAAACACCCCCACATACACACACTAACACACGCATGTCATTTGCGTGACAAGCAGTGGGTCAATATACATTATTTTTATATGAACTAAGCCGATTTCTATATGAGCAACGCTAAATATGCAAATGGTGTGCACTGGGCTTATTCGAATCACAATTTGTAGCATACCTATGTGGGACACGCGAGGGTATTAAGTATTGACCTTTATGGAAAGCATGCTATTAGGCCAATATGGTTTTAAATCTAACTAACCAACTTTTAACTAAGCCTCATTTCATGAATGGAGAGTGAAGCCTATTTAAATAAATTACTGAAATAGTGACAGAACTATATTTGTAAAAAATAAATAGAAATTATTTTATATGTATGTATATATAATATTTACCGAATTTTGAAAAAGTTCAGCTTAAGTCCTGCCTCGCATTTGAGTTATAATTCTGATTTCTTACTATCCATAATTTCTCAACTTTTCAAATGTGCAATTAAAACTTAATTTTCAGCCAGGTTTGCAAAAATTTAAGGCCCAATACACCCTCAGCTGTACGCATAGAAATTTCGAGCACATTTGCCCAAATAGTTCTCAAGTTTCACAGCCTTGTCAATAAAAAATTGGGGAGCTCAATTAAAAACTGTTGCAGCAGCTGCGCAAAATAGTGCTAAAAGAAAAATCTCATAATTTCAGTAGACGTGTAAGAATGTTTATATACGTATATGTGTATGTATATCAGGACGAGTGCTACGAGGGGTCGTTGGGAGCACCTTTCGCAAAGTACTCAAAATTAAGCTAATTGCCAGCTGAGTGAAAAGGGGCTTAGGAAGGCCAAAGGCCAAAGGCAAGCGATGATGTTGCCTAGAAGAAGGTGGGGCTGTGGGCGGGAGGGTTAGCTTTCTGCTATCTGCATAAGGGCCGACACTTAAAATGCCAACAATTATTTAACAGTAAATAATTCATAAATATTTTATGACTTGCATGTCACAATTTGTAAGGCCAAAAACATTTTCGGGAGTCAAACAAAAATATAAAAAAAAAAAAAAATAACAACAAAAACGAGAAAAATGAAAACTGTTCATTTAAATTTTAATTGCTTTATAAATGCTAAAAAGTCCTTGAACTTTTTTTGCGTAAGAGCGAAAGTGGCGAGAGGGCGTGGCAGTCATAGCCCCAACCACACCCAACAGGCCCTATCGCACGCCCATTTAGCAAATTGTTCATAGAGCCCAAGCGAAAACCCGAGCTGCCCTTGCGAGCAGCTAGTTTGAAGTCCTTTCATAAAAAGCGAGCAGCAACAGCAACAGCACACACATACATATATAAATATATGTCTATATATATTATATAGTATATATATTAATAAAATTTTCACGCGCAAACTTTTGTGTAAAAAAAAAAAGAAAAACAGAAGAGGCAGAAGACAAACAGCCAGCAACAATGGACAGGCTGGCTATTTAGTTAGAGCTGTAGCCAGCGGCCATTGCGAAGGAAGGACATCGGCCAAGTTCCCCTTTAGCTGCCACGCCCATGCCCATGCCCATTCTCAACTCGTTCCCAGAACAAACAATGGTTATGAGCATACAAGGCTTATCTGTGTATACCTCTCTCTCTCTCTCTCTCTTTCTCTTACTCTCTTTCTGTCTCTGTGTATGTGCAAAGGCTCATGCGGAATGATGTCCGGTAGGTATACTTGAGAAATTTTTAAGTGTGTGCCACACTTTCGCTTCTTCACCTCCCAAATGGGCAACGAGTCCGACTCTTGTGTACCGTTAACGCGCCAACTGTATCATCTCTCCTTCTCTCTTCACCTCTCTGCCTTTCATTCTATCTCGTTCTTGTTGCTGTAAACAGTCAGAGTTGCCAGAGCGATTCAGTTGTTCGAGCGAGTGCTAGAGTGATATAAGTAAATATAAGACTCTGGAATTTCCATCATTGATGTTGTCCCATTGGAAATACTTGATTGAGGCTCTCTTGATTTCTGTTTATTAGCTGAGAAGAGCATTAAAAAAATGAATGATGAACTAACCTTCACTACTTAAGTCTATAACTCTAATTCAGATTTCAGATATTCACTATATAAATGTAACGATAAATGTTCTCGATTGAAGTTTTCTAATTGAAAATTTAAAAAATTTCTAATTGAAAATAATTGGATATATTGGATGGGGCTGTCTAGTGTAAGCATCGATTATTATTATATCGAGAAATCAATACAAAATAATATTATCTGTTGGATACAAAGGTGGACTCTCAACTGATTAGTTTTAGAATAAGTGGTCTTTGTTTCAGTTTATTTGCTAATTAATTGTGTTAATTAAATATTCTTATCCCAGGCGCATTTAAGAAGATTTAGGTGTAGAGCATTGTGAACTGTTACTAAAGTCGCATCAAAAGATAAATATTTTTGCAATTCTGCAAATTGTGTTTGTGTGTATGTGTTGTGTGCGAGTCACTGCGTGTGTGTGTGTATTTTGTGTTGCTGCTATGCCATTTCTTTTCATTGTTATTGTTAGAGGCGAGATAGGATGTTGCTGTTAGCTGCTCTGGCTGCTTCTTAGCCTGCCGGCAGTTTGTTTTAATGAATGAACAGCTACACAAACAGACACACTCTCACGCACACTGACACTCACACACACTCATATAGGGCTAAAGTGGCAATTAGAAAGTTGCTTAAAAAGACAACAAGCAGCTTTGTTGTTAAGACAACCCCTCAACACCACGAGGCATACTCCTCACGCATACACACACACACACCATCATCTACAGCACTCGCCTCCTGCTCTGCACGCTAAGGCCTTCAAGCTGATTTATATGGCAAATGCATGCGCCTACACAAAAAATTAGCCTTGGCGTTGCATTCCTCCAGCCCGTGTCAATATTAATTATGCATGGCGTGCGCGCTTCTGCAAGCGAAGCCCCAATGCCACAGACCAAAGCAGCGAAAATACCCCAAGCGAACCACCAGCACCACATCCTATAAGCCCGAACGCCCCTCTCCTTACCGCAGAGTGAAAAAAGGTCAGCACGACCGCAAAATGAAGTTGGGAAGGTCGCACGAAATGTGTTTCAAGAAAGTGTTCAACAGCTCTACTTATGTATATGCTATGAGTCCGTGACTCTTACGTCAAACGGAAGAAAAGACCACAGAATATAAAAAGCCAATTAGATGTACCAGCACAGTCACCGTACTCTAGGTTACCCTAAATTCCAACCATACATACTAAATACTCTGTGTATAAGTGTTTTAATATATCCACTATTTACTTTCAGTTTAGAGCAACGAATCATAGCTGTACAATGTGTAATTAGTAGTGAATCAATAACATTTATTTTTGGAATATGTCAAGTCAATACTTTTTAAGAGATATTACAATACAATGTTATTGACATATTTAATGTTAGAAAATATTGAGTAAACATTATTTACTATATATATTTATAATTATATAGTTGTAGATCAAAATAAGAGAATATTCTGTCTTGCTCAAATCTGACATACTTTTGGTTATAGCTTTCTTAAATTACCTAAAAACTAATCGACACATATCGATATTAGGTAAACACTGTCCGCTGCATGACTAGCGGGCTTAATCTATATATATAAAAGAAAGTTGTGTAAAAGTGAAGACYGCTTATAACTTRATTTGGGCTGAACCAATTTTCATGGTTTTTGATTTGTTGGATTTGTCTCCGCAACGAGTTTAGTATAGGGTCTTAAAAATACTGAAAAAATTTGCCGAATACTTGAAAAACGCGGTTTTTTCCCCAAATGTTCAAATTTTTTTTATACCCAGTAGGCTTGGTAACAGTGACAGTTTTGACAATAGTGTAGAAGTAAATAAACAAATGTAGTCAGTCAGTCTACGGTCTCCTGACCTCGAGCAGACCTGACTATTCAAAAAAAAAAANGGAAAGAAGCGTCCACGTCCATTGGCATCACGAGAATCGCCTGCCAGCACTTTGACATTCTCCAAGCATTTGCCTATCTCAACATCCTCAGCACCGTTGTTATCCTGTTTGCATAGCTTGGGATTGGGCAGCGCTTCCACCACAAAGCGACGCACTGCCTCGCGACTGAGCACATATCCAGCTCCACCAGACATATAGCCCTGCTTGACGTATGCCTTAAATCTGGCGCCAAAATAAACAGGCGTGTCAGGGTTATAGGGATATAGCATATAGCGCAAGTTCTCTACAATGATATAGGTATCGTCGTCAGCCTTAAGGAACCAGTCCGCATCGTTGATATGGTGCTCGTAGATATATTTGTAGGCCTCTTTCGTTTTGCCCCACAGGGTGTCGCGTCCCTCGCCTACGGGCAGGGCCACAGAATCCAATTCCTCATCCTTGGCTGAGCTCATGAAGATCAGCTTGTTACATCGCTTGCCCCAGGTGCGTTTTACATGGACCGCCTTCGCCTTATGATTGGAGGGATTTGTCAGAATCCAGCAAAGAACACGTATTTCGCTATGCAACTTTTCAGCAAGGCTTGTTTCGTCATTTGAATGTTCGGGCGAGTCGATATCCTGTTTGGGACGAGAAAAATTCTGCATGTGTTGATTGGAATGGTCGCCGTTGACATCGCAACGTTTCGGAATGGATGAGTAGACAAACAGCTCTGCCAGACAGAAGCCAGCAACGAGACCGACAATCAGTAAGACTAACGAACGTTTGCTGCATCGCCCTCCAAGAAGATGAAGATGGCATAAAATTTGGGATATAGCATATGTAAATATATGGCTTATATATGGTACTCACTTTCATTAAATAGGGATCGTCCCAATAGGCTATTGGCAGTCATTGTTGGGGCTATATATGTTGTCGATATCTATAAGCTTATACACTGCTCATACTCTATATTGTAATTAGTTGATTCGTTATAATCTATAAAATGTTCTTTAGCCAAAATGTATAATATACTTCACAAAACATTATTAATAAATTGAATTATTTAATAACTTCAATTATTGAAATTAACTCAATGAATTCTATATTAATATTAATTTAAATAACTAATCAGTTAACTGGCAAACTACATTAATTAATACAGTACTTAATATTATTAATTCAAGAAAATAATATTTGGAAAAATTCTAATTTCATTTATTAGATTCAATAATTATATTTATTGAATTATATCAATTTATCAGATAATTAATTTTAATTTACCGGACACACTCTTGAACACCTTAATAAAATTTAATGTTATCAAATGTAATTAATTTGTAAATTTTATATAGCACTTGGAACACAAAATTAATTACATTACATATTGATTGAAGAACTTGTACTTTGCTCTGAACCCGTATTGGTGGAAATATTTGAGCCCCTTGAATTCAATATATGTATATTTTTANCTCAAAGGAAAATTTAAAGATGAGGAAGTTCTTATTCCTAGGATTCCGATGAGCTCAACAGATATGCCCTTTGAATTTAAACGAATTCAATTCCCGCTTCGTCTTGCCTTCGCCATGACGATCAACAAGTCACAGGGCCAATCTTTGACTATTTGTGGCCTCAATCTAGAAAATGCGTGTTTTTCTCATGGTCAATTGTACGTGGCATGCTCACGTGTTGGCAAACGATCCGCATTATTTGTTCTTGCACCCGACCAAAAAACGAAGAATGTCGTTTACAACAAGGTGCTTGAATGAAAATCCGATTAATAAATTTATCAGTGTATCCYARCCTGAACAACATAGCTTTYARYAATTKWTTACCTAGAAATAATATAGAGGGCAATGCAACGTTTGCCGGGCCAGCTAGTATTAAATATATCCAATATAATCAAGCGAGTAAAGCTTTGAGTGAAGATTCACCTTTTCATTTCAGTTGCCTTAACTTTAAAATGAGCTACTTCAGTCTATCATCTTTTCATTCTGCAGTCTATCATCTTTTCATTCTTAACTCTTCTCAAGGTCCACAGGGTATAAAAAACAGCGAACATTAACAGCACGATTCGATTACTGGCGCCACTTGCTTAAGCAGCACTGTTGTTTCTTGCAATGTGCGTGTGTCTGCATGAGTGTGCGTATGTGCTTCCCCTTCTTGGCAGCTCTTTTATTATGTGTGTTTTTTATTGTATTACGCTTTTGTTGGCTTTCATATTGGTTTTTCAACTTCGTTTTACGCTTCAGCGGCATAAATATATAAATTATTAACTATCCACAACTGCTGTATAGGTGGTTTTCACTGTGTATGTATATATATGTATATATATGTGGCCTTAGTCCTTTTTGTGCCTTTAACGCATTGTCCTTGCGAGCACGCGCACCTTTTCCTTTGTTTTTGCCTTCTTTGTATCTGTATCTTGAAAAAGCAAGACATAAATATATACACATATACAAATACGTATAAACAAATGTATATTTATTTGCAAAAAAATCGAATCGACTATACGTGTTTCTCATGCGTGTTTGTGTGAGGTCAGATATATTCTTTAACAGTCTATAAATTTAAGCGCTTGGACGTTCCAAATCAGCATCATTAAGTCAACTCTCAACTAACTATTTGGAATGGAGCTAGGCTAAACTTAAATTTGTGAAGAAAATATTTTATGACGTATACGGATAGCTGGACTTGAAGGGCATTGCATGATTGGCAATACGCCTGATTAAATTGGATTGATGAGTGGATAGATATCCTTAGCATATACTCTGAGCACTTTACTGGGTTAGCGCATGTGTTTGCTGATTATTACTAATCAGTAAATTAGCTCAGTTGAACGCACAAAAGCAAGCTGGTTGTTGTTTAGCTATTTCAAGAGTTTTCAGGATCTATCATCAGCAGACCTTGCTATCGATTTAGTTTACGTCTTTGCCTCCCTATCTCCCTCGCTGAACTGTAAATTTGTTTAGAATTGTATGATTACAGGCTTTGCATTGCTACAATATGATTGCAATACATCCAATTGGTTTATAGCCACGTTTGTTCTTATTTAATTCTAATGCGGCATTTCATAGTTCCTTCATACATGTATGTAAAGGGTTCAACTCTCTCTAGGGTCTTCAATAGACAAGTAAATTCTTCAGGCCTAAATGATAGGCACGCAACATAAAGATTTTGTGTGAGTTGTGAATCAATAAGTATTGATAAATTTAATTAATTTTTAGCCAAGTATCGATAGTCAACTGTAATGCTCTCCCCTCAAATTCCTATGGGAATGCTATCATGTCATGGCTCTATTTGTTGAGTATCTAATAGTCGCGCCTCGTAAATCTGAAAATGTTGTAATTTATATTGTTTCTATTAGTTGTGTGTTTTCCCCTTCTTTTTTTTAAAGCTATTTGTGGGAATGTCCATGTGCCTGCATGATTTATGATCGTACATTTATAGTGCTGACAATTGAATGATATTTTTGCTGCGCGCAGTAAGTGAGTTGTGGGTGAGGCAAACGAATGGCTTTGATCAATGACGGAAAGGGATGGAGCAGCGCGTGCTTGCAGAGGGGCAGGAATTGTTGGCATTTTTGACATAGTTTGCATATGCAACGCACACACATCAGTCTATGTGAAGTATTTGCATATAAATTTCAATGGAGGCAAAGTAAAAACCTCTTCATTTTGTTTTTGTTTTTATTTGTTTGTTACAATTATTTATGATCAATTTTATTTAAATTATCGTGAGGCATTTGAATAAAGTTATTTAACGCAATATTTAAATCGCTCACATTGCGACATAAACAAAGCCATAAATCCTCGAGTTTGCCATCTGAGAGATTAGCATAAAACCAAAAGAATTTCTCAGAATAAACAAGCTTTCAAAACCAAATAAAACAATTTTCTATACACATTCAATCAATATTTACAAATACTGCTCGAGATTAGTTGCGGAGGTTAACGAACGCATAAGGCATTTATCTAAACATTATTAAAAGTTCGCTTTGCTCAGTTTCAGCGCCGAAGCAGTGGGCAGAGGGCCGCGGGCCGAGGGCAGAGCATTCAGTTTTTGCTTCAGTTTCAGAGACATAAAATGTAACCATGGGGAAACATAAATGTCATTTAAGATAACCATAAAAATTGTCATTTTATGGGGGCAGCCATGGAAATTGCCCACAAGAAAGAACCAAAATGTAAACAAAATAGAAAAGGAAAATGTCGAAAATGCGACGAAAATTGTTGAGCAAGGTAAGAGGCAAAAGCAAAGCACTCACCTGACGGCATTCAAATTTAATTGACTTTACTCGCAAATCGCTGCCAGAGCAGTAAAATACATCCGAATGGAAGTGAAAGAGCAGCGCCACTTTATGGCCTGCTTAATTTGAATAAAAGTGAATTAACTGCACGAGATATATTTTATACCAATGATAATTGTTTGCAATCTAACTAAATAGAAAGGCTAACTATAGGCCACAAAAACAAATAGGTTACCTCATGAAATATACTTCATAGAGTGGAGGAGAGGCAACAATTATTGAGAATCGATATATTTACTGTGAATTATCTATATAACATGTTTCTCTATTGGACTTTATTTTATTATTGTAATAAAACAACATTGAGTTTCATATCATTACAGCAAACAATTTCGATAAATGCAGCGATTGCAAAAATTTTATTGGGAATCCAATTGCATAAAATATTAAATCAATAACTGCTCACTGTTATACTAAATAAATTTTTATATTTTACATATTATTTTACGAGCCTTTTCGATAATTTTGATGTGGCAAATGTTTTTTTTTTTTTTTTTTTTTTNGTTTTCTATTTAATTTATATTTTTAAATACACCGAAATTGAAATTTTAACTATACTTTATGTGCGTTTTTAATAGTTTGGTTATTCTAGCAGATTCTTAGAATCACATCAGCAGTTAGTTTCGTTTAGTTTTGGTAGATGGCGCTGCAGCAGTGAATCTATTTGAGTTTTGCCAGCGCCACTAGCAGGAGTGAGGTGGCCTAGTGTGTTAGCAGCATGACGCTCGATCGAGGAGTCGCGGTTCGAATCCCGATCGATGCAACTGATGTTAATTTTTTTTAATTGTTTCAAAATATTTTTATATTTTATTAAATGAGTTTGGTATTTTATTTATATTTTTAAATACATCGAAATTGAAATTTCAGCCATACTAAATGGGCATTTTTATAAGTTGGGTTCAGGGTAGTATCTAGTCGAGCACTCTCGACTAGAACTTTCTTACTTGTTTTAGAATATATATCTGACTGATTATCTAAATTATTATTAATTATTCGCAGGACTATCCTATTGAATCATATGAGCCCTATGCTCTTGTTTCGGAAATTCAAGGACATATTTGGAATTTGGCCATTGAATATAGGTAAGTCATGACTTAAACAAGAAATAAAGCTTTAGTCGAGACTGCTCGACTACGTGATCCCCCGGACCCTTCGAGCAACTGATATTTCAAAAATTACAATAAAAATTGTGAATGAAAAAAAAAAAAAAATAATAATATTCTATTAATTATATATGAATCTACATTAAAAGTTTGTAGTCGCCATAACATGTAGAATATATGAATTCATTACTGATTTTCGATATTTGAATTTTCCATAACAAAATATCAAAGTAGGTATTGATTTTTGGAAAAAACAAGTAAGGAAGCTCTAGTCGAGACTGTTTGACTACGAAATCCCCTGATTTCCCATTGGAAATGGGCTCAGTGTATAAAAATAATAAAATGTTCGACCAATTAACAAACGCACGTGCAGCAGCTTCAACAGTTTTCGTATACGTGAGCACACATACATTCAAAATTCTTCTAGCGCATTCATTCTAAAATTACATCAGCAATTATTTTGGTTTAGTTCTGCTAGATGGCGCTGCAGCAGTGAATCTATTT